TGATTTTGAAATGAAATTTTGATTCTGAAAACAAAATGAAGAGAAGGCGAAACAAAAAAAATGTTTGTGAGGCATCGTTGTGAAATCAGGAGCTCGCCAAAGTAATGAAATCCAAGAAATGTGCATTTTAATGGACGTTGGGCGACTTTCTTTTTGGAATTTCTTCGCCGTGACACATTTTGATTTTCCAGGTTGCATATCGCCGACAAGTTGTTCAGGTAGTCGAAGTTCAGAAGACATTATATTTCTGGAGAGAGTAAAAAAACTGTCTCACTTTTCTAACAATTACACTTACATAAAGTACTTTTTTGGGAGGTGGGGGGCTGTTTTCAATATTTAGCTTTTCAATTTTTTTTAACCCAAATATTTCTCGAGCACATGCAGTTAATACAACAGATTAAGAAAATGCAACAAAAGAAAATGTAAAATGTTGGGACTTGCACATCGAACCAACTGGCCGACGACAACATCATCAGAGAAAAGAACTCACTGTATTATTCCAAGAACGTGCCATGGTGCTGTGGAATGTTTGTATATACAATTGGAATGTTTTTCTTTCTATTCAGTTAGCCTTCAGATAATCTTGAAAAAGTCAGATGGAAGGGTATGTGTTTGGGGGGGGGGGGGAATATTTCTGTAATCGTGATGGAAAGATGAGCAGAGGAAGATAAAGAAAAACATACATAGATGGCCTGAATATCTTTGCAATGAATACCACAAAAAATAAAACTTAGCTGATCAAGAAGACAGAGAACAGGAAAGAATGGGGTACCATGATCGTGAATGTCTGCTCCAGACTGAAGAAAAATATGTAGATGGAAACTTAGCTTTCATTTAAGTCGTGTGTAGCTATACCACACCATACTAAACTGACAGAAACTCTTAGGGATTTTGTCACCCACCATACCACACCTCATTAAACTGATAGCAAAGATCTGTCTTAACAAGATAGTTTACTCGGCCAAAAAAGTGTTAGCGGAAGTCGGCGCATTGCTTCAGATGGCGCTGCAGTCTTTGTTTTGAAGCCCCCTTTTCGTTTATCCAGAAGAAAAATAAGAATAGCTCAGTTTGTTTGTTTTGTTTTTATTGTTTTTCTCACACGTAGGAAAAGTGTTCGTGAAATCCGCACTTTTCCGAAGAGGGCGCCACCGAATTTGAGGACAGTTTTTTAGTTGTCTCAAAGACAGGAGTGAACTGTCTTGTTATGTACGGTCTTTAACCATACTAAATTTACATCAAGCGCACCATACCACACTGTACTAAGCTGACAGCAACCTTAGGGTTTCTGAAGCGCACCATACCACACTGTACTAAGCTGACAGCAACCTTAGGGTTTCTGTCGTTCACCCACAGAAGCTATACTATACTAGTACACATCTTTGCGCTCGCCATACCACTCCATACTAACTGACATCAGACTGAGGATTTCTTTTTTTTTATATAGTAGAGGGTTTTACGGCTCTCGCAACTGCATAAGGTCATATGAGCGCCAAAGGGTGAGAAGTCTTTACAGGGAATCAGACTTTGACTGCTCACCTCTCTAGCTTCAACAGCACAAGATCTGCTTCGACTATCTAAGCACCCCAAAATAGCAGGTCACAAGAGAGTGACAAACATACAAAAGAAGTAGAGGAAAATGACAATAGTAAGGATCAGGAAAGAAAAAGCGGCTGTTCCCTGTTGTAGATCAGGCACAGTTATGAGCGTGACATGAGTCAGCCTATATACAATTCTACTATGCTTGAACGAGAA